TTTTTTTTTGCAATTCATAATGAGGGGATATAGTGTTTGAAAGAAATATAAAAGTATACAAAATAGAAAGTTTGTATAGATAATTAAAATTATTATGTTTGAAATACTAACTTTTAATTAACATAGAAATTGATATATAATTGTGGTATAATTGTGATATGTATAATAATATAGATGCAATTTTGTTTGACATTAATTTACATTTTGTTTTTTTAGTTATAAACGTATCGATGTAATGTGCACATTGCTGAACATGTGCTTGCCGTTTGAAGTACGATACCTCGGCACGTGCGTCGAGGATATCGGCAAGCGGGACTACAATGATCTACGTGACACGGAACACCATGCAAACAGCGTCTCGGAGGTGGCTGAGTTGACGACTTCTAGCGTGACAGATAAACGCACGCGAAGAAAAATGGCTCTTTATATGGCACTGTTGCACTCGTGCAATTATGCCTGTGCGGTAATCCTGTATAAGAATCTATCGAACCTTGACCATCAGGAGATTACCAATCTGTTAAATGGGACCACTTTTAATGTGGATGACCAACCCCTAGAAGAATTGCTGCTGCTGTATACGATGGCACTGAACCATCCGGCCTTCACATATGAGCAAAAGAGTGTTTTTGGCAACATATTTCTCAAACTACAGGAAGAAGAGACTCGTCTGAACCTTTCAAAGATGAATTCTTCTTTTAAACCGACACAAGTAATGCACAATATCATTTTTTTTCTTAAAGAAAGACAGTAAAGAGATAATTTTATGAAATAAAAATTTATATTTATTTTTTATTTACGTTAGTTTACTACGAGTTTTATTAATAAATAAAATAAAATTTTGTTATATTATTTTTTATTTTAAAAATTTTAAGATATTTTTTTAAAAATATTTAAAATTTTAAAGGACAAAATTATATTCTTATCTAGAATTTTTTTGAGTTATTAATAAGAAAATAAACTTTTTTTATTACACAAAAACATAAGTATGCAATATGTTATTTGTTATATGTTATTTTGAAATATTAACTTTTAATAAATGCTGATTTAAATATCATTTCTGTAATATTATAATTAATTTTTATATGTAATAATATAATGCAATAATATGATTTTCAAAGTTGGTAATTGTTGATTATATAAATATATGTATGATTTAAATTTATGCAGAGCTGTACACCGTGCATGAGTACAAACGAAAGATTAATGGAACCTGAGATACCGAGTAGCTTAATGCCACCACCACCAATGCAATCTTATCATGGTACGCTACATTACACATTTTATAAACATTTATTGACACGAAAAGATTGTGACAAATTATGACATATAACACATGTTATGTAGTGAAATCGAATGATACTGACATTTCATTTTTCCAAAAAAATGAAAGTATAATTGGTTATCACATTTTATCTCTTATTTAATTTATTTAAATTATTTTAGTAAGATATAATATAATAAACTTAATTTAAATTAAAGATTTGAAAATTATAATTATGTTAATAATATTAATGTATTTTTACAAGAACTGCAAAATTATTCATATTTTAATCTTTTTATATTTTGTTTATTTTAAACAAATTATTAAGTAGAAAATTTTTAATTGTAAAATTTACTTGTAGATCTGATGACTGAATAATGTAATTTTTTTCGTAAAACTAAAACAAATATTAAGTATTTCGTAAAACTAAACAAATTATTAAGTAGAAAATTTTTAATTGTAAAATTTATTTGTAGCTCTGATGACTAAATAATGTAATTTTTTTGTAAAACTAAAAAGTCACTTTAATGACTTTTATACTATATATTTTCTATTATTTAATTTTATTTCTATATATATAATTTTATTCTTATATTTTCATGTTTTAAAACTTACATATGATTATATTAGTCACTGATTTGTATCTTTTCTCCTTTTTTAAATTGCTCTACTACATTAATATAATATGTTTAGGTGAAATGGGAATGAGGAATAATGCTTTGGTCACTGGAGTACCTCCCGGTCTCACGATACCTCCACCAGGATTATGTTTACCTGGTCCAGAGCAAATGCCTATGGGATCTGGTGGTACTACGCAATACGTTCATCTAGGTTTCCCATCCATGAATCATATGCCTCCTTGGACAGGTCAGGTTATGATGGGAAACCAGTTGATGTATCACGCCAGCGATGTGTTGGCTTATCCACCTTCCCCTTTAGTCAGTCGCCAATCTTCGCCATCCCAGTCACGATCTCCTAGTCGCAGTAACTCGCCGATGGGTCGCGGCAGGACTAATGCTAACTCGCGCGCCTCATCCTCGCAATCTACTCAATCTATTTCAACCAGTCTCACATCATCGAACGCCTCCAATAGCCAAACAAGCTCTGGCGTGAATAGTACCAATAACAACAACAATAATTCCCTACCGCCTCTGCCGACGCCCGGTGCAAGCAGAAGTCTTCCTAGTCAATCACCGTTACTCCCATCATCGCGATCTGTTCCTTTGTCTAACACGAGCTCTTCGACCTTCTCCCGCCATAACAATATCGACAACACTTCGACGTCTAATCTGATCTCAGCAGCTCAATCGAAGCAACCCCCACCTCCGCCACGACTTAGATCCTCCAACTCTGGCGATTCGCTTCGAGAAAGTCTAAATAAGGAGGTGACGAGTTATAAGGGCAATTTGCAGAACTATTCACGTGATGAGGTAAATAAAATTATGTTTATATTATAACTATCTTTAAAATATCTGTGTAGACATGAGCAATGTAGACATGTGTAACATGTAACACTCCCCCCCCCCACACAGAAAGAGAGAGAG